GGTCGCTGGCAAGCGGCAGCGGGGCCCAAATGTCGTTTTCGCCCACCCAAGCACCGCGGTGAAGTGTTTGTGAAAATGGCGGTGTTGCTCTGGAGCCTCGCATGCTGTCGCTTTGCCAGTGTCCTCGCGCCAAATGGTGTTTCCGCCGCAGCGCCGCCCATGGATGTTCTGGAAGTTCCGCGCCCGCCCGTGCGCGCGCGAGCACCCGCTATTCGAAAGGTGAGAACGCGCGCCAGTACCATAGTATCAAGTTGCGCCAATATTGGTTCTCGTGTTATGAGAGGGAGGGTTGGAGTTGGCGGGGTCTGCTGCATCGCTCGGCCGGGCTAATTTGATTTGTCCTACTCGTCGTCATCCTCGTTTGATTGATTTCCCTTCTCGTCCTTATCTTTCTTGCTCCTGATAATCGTGCGCTCCTGCGCGCGGGGGAGAAAGGGGGAGAAAGGGGGAGGAGGAGGGAGAAGGAGGAAGAGGGTGAGAGGTACTAGGAGGGAGGAGGAGGAGGAGGAGGGACAAAGATGAGGAAAGATGATGATGAAAGGAAGGAAAAGGGCTGATGGGAGGAATAAAGTTCGTGATGCTGCTGATGATGATGATCATCATCATCATGAGTATGCTGGCGATGCTTATGATGGAGATGGTAGGGAGTATGACGGTGATGGCGATGGTGTTGGTGATGATGGTTGTGGTTGCGACGATGATGGTATTTGTGGTGGCGATTCTTATGATGCTGATGCTGGTGAGGAGGAGGAGGAGGATGGTGATGAGAAGTATGAGGTTGGGGATATTGTTGCTGATGCTGATGCTGCTGATTATGGCGATCTTGAATGGGATGTTGCTGATGACGATGGTGATCATGATCATAATCATGATCATGAGCCAGATCATGATGATGATGGTGGTGATCATGTTGCTGCTGCTGCTGCTGATGATGATGATGCGGAGGAGTAGGAGAAGGAGGAGGAGGAGGAGGAGGAGGACCAGTGCAAACCCAATACCCAGCAACGATATTGTAATACGTCCTCCTTCGAAGTTCCCCGTATAGACGCATACAAGGGTTCATCTTCACTGAGGGAAGTGCTCTGGTGTAAGACAACTGGCTGAGAATCCTATACTGTGCCAGAGCACCATTCCTGGGACTGGAACGCCGCGAATCACCGCTGCTGTTGCGTCCTGACGTTCCTGAATCGTACCAAACACCATTGCTGGGACTTCTATAACGCGAATCAGCACATGTGTTGCGCTTCGACGGTCCGACATCGTGCCAAATCAACATTTCTGGGACGGTAGCCATGAGAATCCGTCAAGCCGCTGTGAACTCTTAAAACGAAAGTGCGTGGCGCTACGGCGAGAGCCACATTTTGAGAACGAAATGCGCTCCATCTGTGAAGCTCTTGGACGTTGTTAAGACGAGCGCGTTCGGCATTATCGCGGGAGCCACAGTTTGAAAATGAGCCGCACTCCATCCGGGAAGCCCCTGCACATGTTTAACACGAATGTACGCGGCGTTAATGTTGTATCGATAAAAATTAAGAAATCAAGCAATCCTTGCGGCCATGCCTGGTCGTGCTGTCGTCGGAATCACAAGTATGTATAAGAGAGGACTGCGCCGAAAAGGCGATGGTGGCAGAACTGGAAGAGGTCAGCAGGTCGTGCGCAACAGCGGCTGGTAGTACATACGTAAGAGGAACACGCACATGCACGATGCACGCCGCCTCCTCGGACAAAAAAAAAAAAAAAAATGCGCGGCGCTGAGACGAGAGCCGCATTTTGAAAACGGACCGCCCTCAATCCGTGAAGCTCTTGCAATTTTCGAAGACGAATGTGCGCGACGCTACGGCGAGAGCCACCTTTGGACAGCGACGCGCCCTCCATAAGTGAAACTGATGCGAATTCTCAGCTTGAAGATCGTAAATGATGACACGGTCTCTGGCGAAACGCCCAGCCCGTCCTACCGACACGCCTCGGGATGCGACAGGGAGAAGTGTTTTTCAAGGAAAATGAATGGAGGAACTCTCCCGTCCTGCGCTGCCCCCCCCCTCCCCCGCAGCAGGAAGCGCGCCGTCAGCGTGAGCAGCGGCAGCCGGAAAGGGCGGCGGAAAAGCCCCAGCCAGAACCGCGGCAAGCGGAAAGGCTCCAGGAGCCTCTTATCTCCAGGCCCGAGGAGAGGAAGATTTCGAGGTTCGACGTTTCTGGTTCGATGTCGGGGGTTTTCGGCCTTTTTCGTTTGTTCTCGGCGGTTTCCCAGCCTCGGGATGCTCTCTAGCAGCTGCGACTCGCCGAAAGCGCCCCGGGAGTGCCCAGATCGTTCCGAACGGCCGCCAGAGAGCCGAGCTATGGCATGACAACCAAGGGGCAACGTCAGACGGGGATGGGGGGGGCGATGCGGTCAGCAACGTTTGCTTCGCATGTCGCGCCACCGCGTTGGCCCATCGCGCTTCTGCGCGACACGCTGAGCGCCTCCCAGTCCCTAAGCATCAGCGTCCGAGCTTTTAGCCCACCATCCCACGAAGCAGAGCAACACGCTATCAGCTTGCAAGGCGCAGCATGTCTTAGGGGCCGCCGCCGCGACACGCCAAGCAACCGTTCCTCAACTCAAGCTTTGCGAGCGCGCGGTGGTGATGAAACGCTTCCATCGATATTCTCGTGTCTCGCTCTCAAGCCCCGTCATGTCTCCCGAGCGGGAGGTTCTCGTGGACATATGTTACGTGACGGCTATCCCATATGATTGTGGACCAGTGCCACAAATGAACAGAGGATGTGTTGCCAGCGTGGGCCCCCAACAAATAAGACATTGCATTGCAGAGTATACGTGGTGCAAGCTATGCCGCGTAAGCTGTGAAGTGCCATATCTGTGGCGCCTGCTACCTGGTGCAAGCTGTGTGGTGCAAGCCATTTGGTGCAAGCCATGTGGTCAAAGCAATGTCGAATAAAGTAAGTTGTGCTAGCTATGTGGTGCAAGCTGAGTAGTGTAAGCTATGCAGTACACTCTATATGCTTTGAAGGATATGTGCTGCAAGCTATTTGGTGCAAGCTATGTGGTACAAGCTATGCGGCCGCCCAGCGCACGAGGCGTCGACGGGCAAACACTAGGCGAAGCACCGACAGACCAACCCAGGCGCCCACGACCAGACACCAAACGGGCACCAGGCGAAACATTGACAGACCAACCCAGCGCATGAAACCCCCACGAGGCGCCCACGACAGGGCACCAATCGGACACCAGGCGAGGCCTCGACAGACCAACCCAGCGCGCGGGGCGCCCACGAGGCGCCCCACGACCGCTCACCAATCGGGCACCAGGCGAAATCTCGACAGACCCATCCAATTCCTCTGGAAACCTCGGTTTAACAGACACTAGTACAAGCACGGCTTGGGGAATAAGGAAACTTGTTGCCCCGCGCTACACTCGCATCTGTCGGCCCGACCAGGCTTCCCTCCTTCCCGGGAGCCCTCTTTGCATTCCTGGGTTTGGATTTTGCACGGCGAGCGATCGTCGAGACCTCCTTGGATGGGCCTGGAGGGACGCGGTCGGCAGGTGATCGGAATTCCACAGGATCTGTGGTACCCGGCCTCTCCTCTTCAAGCTATGGTGTTTTGTAGGTGCTCGGGCCCGCCTTGCGCGCCATCAGCGTTGTCTCTCCTGCTGTCCTTGCTTCTCGTAGTCGATTGCTGTTGCCCCCTGGGGCAGCCAGCATAGCCAGGAGCCCTGAATGTGAGAATGCGCGAGGATCATGAGTCTTCAGTTCTTCAACGCTGACGGCCGCAGCAGCTGCTGCTGCCGTCGCCTCCCCATTCCACCACACTCGCCTCTGCCTCATCTCATCGAAGCAGGAGTCGGAGGAGGAATAAAAAGAGGGGAGGAGGAGAAGGAGGAGGAGGAGGAGGAGGAGGAGGAGGAGGAGGGAGGAGGGGGGTGGCAGGAGGAGGGAGGGGAGGGGGAGGGGGAGGGGGAGAGGGAGAAGAAGAGGAGGAGGAGGAGGAAAGAGAAGAAGAAGACCCAGTCTCCCCTCCGTCCCCCCTCCGTCGCTCCCTCCCCATCGCATGTCGGAGCGAGGCGGAGGAGCTCACGCGCATGTGATCCGATCGACTTCGCCAAGAACAGGTATAATCTGTGTAGAATTACAGGGATTATACGCATCCGTTGTAGACTCGACGAAAAAACGAGTTTGGGGTAAATCAATTCTGCAGTCGACCTTCTACTCGTGGTCAGTTTTGCTCCCGCCCCGGATCCTGACCCCCGGAGGTCCCCTGGAGATCCCTGGAGGTCCCTGGAGGTCCGCGGAGGCCCGAAGCAGGGCCGAAAACGTCCAAGAACCGTCCGAAGACGTTCTAAATTCCTCCTCGATCCTCGAGGGCCAAGGGCAAATTTGAGGGCCAGACGACATCCCCGACGACGACGATGACGACGACATCCCCGACGACGACGACGACGACGACGACGACCACGGTGGCGGCGACGACGACGAGGGCGACGACGACGTCGACGAGGACGACCACGGCGACGACGACGGCGACAACAACAACGACGACGACGACGGCGACGACGACAAGGGCGACGACGACGTCGACGACGACGCCGACGGCGACGACGACGGCGACGACGACGAGGGCGACGACGATCCTCGAGGAGCCTGCTCGAACCCTGCTCGAACCCTGCCGAGGGCAAAGCTTGGGGCCTGCTCGAACCCTCGTCACTCACCCTCTGAGGGCCACGGTGCTGTACGGCCCTGCGGCCGTGCTCCTACATGCAGGGCCTGGCCCTCCAGGCCGCCTCAGGGGCGCGCTCTCCTCTCCTGCCTGGGCGCTCTGCCCGGAGGAAGCGCCACCCGCACGGCTTGGGCGTCGCGTAATTCGAGTAGGGGATCGACTACGGAATTGGCTTACCCCGAAGTTTGGTTTCCCGTCGACTCGATTAAAAAGACAGAAACCTTCGTGGATCTGAGGAGCATTATATTTATTGTTGGTGGGTTCGACAGAAAATCAGTTCTGGGGTGAATCAATGCTATAGTCGATCTCCTACTCGAGCAATCGGGGGGCAATAGATTCTTCCCCCCTGCGAAGTGAACCAATGACCCTCTGTGCGATCCGTAGCCATTTTGGCTCAAGGCGGTCTCCACCAGTTGTGAACCGCACACACGCTGAAAGACCAGGTGCAGGCATGCAGCAATACTGTGCCCTGCGCACTGGATTCAGAGCTCGAGGCTGTCCTGCAAAAAGACACACATGAGCTGGAACGAGAGAGGGCTGCGAAACGCGTGAAATTGACGATGGAAGGTATAGCCAAAAAGATCGGGCTCCCCCGAAAAGTAACAATGTTTGGGTCTTTCTCGAATGGTTGCAAAAACGGAACATCAGATTTCGATATTGCACTTGTTAGTAAGATTGATGCTGGACAGGCGGTGCACTACCTGGCCAAAATTGCAGAGCAGTTGCCATCTTGTGGCTTCGGTAACGTCACAAGGGTCTTCCAGGCGTCGACGAAGCTGTTGAAGTTTACAGACGTGAGGACACAAGCGGAGGTGGACTTTTGCATCAACAATGACCTAGGGGTTAGGAACTCAAGGATGCTTGGCTGCTACTGTGAGGTTGACCAGCGGGTGTCGAAACTGGGCCGGCTCATCAAAGATTGGGCAAAGAGGCGTGGCCTGGTTGGCAGTGCCGATGGTTATTTGAATAGCTACGCATACATGCTCCTCACAGTTTTTTACCTTCAGCAGACAACGCCGCCTGTGTTGCCCAACCTGCAAAAAATGGCAACGGAGCCTTTCCTGGTTGACAGTGACAAGTGGGGAATGGAGGACACATGGGACACCAAGTTTTGGGACGACATAGGGGGCTTGGAGAAGTCGAGCAACGAGATGACCGTCAGCCAACTGCTCATCGGCTTTTTCCATTTTTACGGATTTGCTTTCGAATGGAAGTCCTGTGCGGTGTGCATTCGGGAGTCCCAACCAGGGCAGTCGGTGAATAAGTTCACCCTACAGACTCGCGTCATCGAAGAGCAGTGGTACATCGAGGATCCGTTCGACTTGCGGCACAATCTGGCTGGGAGGTGCAGCCGCGCTGGTCGCGAACGGATTCTGAGCACCATGAGGGACACGCACGAGGTGTTGTCCAGTAAGGGCCGCTGGGCTCTTGCATGCCCCCTCAGGGAATCCAGCAAGCACTTCCTCAAATGCCGCACCGCCCATGACGTTACCCCGCAGGCCTTCCTCGAGGCTTTCGAGGAGTTCGAGTTGGTCAAGCTGCACTTTCCCAAGCCGTGCGACCAGGGCAGTCGTCATTTGAACACGTTCCTGGAATTTAGAACCAGTGCGGCGCGCAGGCGTGCGCACACCAAGAACGAGTGCCACCTGGAGGGGTGCTCTCAGCAGCTGCACCTGCACGCCAGTTCGCAGCACGCCCTCGAGGATGCGATGCAGGCCCTCGAAGCCACCGGCGGGTCGTACTCCACCTTCGAGATGCTTCCCTACAAGCTGCAGAGGCGGGTCCAGCAGAACCGATGCGGCCTCGATGGTGCCAGTGCGTGGCACGGAGTGGAGCAGCAGGAGATTCAGCTGGATGCTGCAATAGACAGCTGCGAGGCGGTCTTGATTCAGCAGCTAAGCGATGCAGCGACCCATATCGACTACTGCCAGTTCCGCGACATCCTCATGGACCACTTGATGGAGGCGGGGAACCTGATCTCGAGGGCTGTGACTAGCGAGCGCCACATCGTGGAGCGGGTGTTCGGCGGCGACTGCGCGCGCATCTCTCGGCTAAGGGCTCTGTTGGACGCCGCAGGGCAGGTCGAGCAGCACAACCAGGCCGTGGTCGCGTGCTCGAGTGCCTGTGAGGTGGCGGAGCGCTTGCTCTGGGACCTGGGCCTCTCCGAGCAGCTCGAGCTGCGGCAGGTCCGCGAGCGCGAGCGCCTGCAGGCGCTGCAGCACGCGAGGCGCATCCGGCAGCACCCCCTCTCTCAGGCTGCGGCCCAGGGCCGGGGGCCGGCACCGTGGCTGCCCGGCGAGCAGCCCGAAGGCTGGCCATGCGGCCAAGACCAGGACGCCAGCCGGGACCACGCCGGCGGAGGACCTGCCGCCACACTCCCGGCACCCCTCCCGGCGTGCGCCCGGCCTCCCGGCACCTTCCGGCCGAAGCCCGCCGTCCCCGCGGTGGGCCCGTGGGTGGGCCCCTGGCGCGCCGCGGCGCTTGCGGCCTCCTCCGCGGCGTGCCCGCGGCCGCCGCCGCTGCCCAAGGGGGCCCCGCCGCCGCCCCACGGGGCCGCCGCGCCGCCGGCGCCGCCCGCGCTGCCCCCCCCCGTGGCGGTGGTGCGCGCGTCGGCGTCGGACCGCCAGTTCTGCGCGTGGGCGACCACGTCGGCGGCGCTCGCGGCCCCCGCCGTGTTCCTCGGCGCCGCGGCGGTGCTCGCCACGTGCTCCCCGGCGGTGGCGGCGGCGGCCGCGACGGCCACCGTGGGGCACGCCTCCGACCTCCTGCTGACGACGTCCTCGTACCTGGACGCGCTCGCGGAGGGGGGGGTCGACAACGGCGCTTTCGTGCAGATCTTGGACAGTAGTTCTAGGCTTTTAGAGGGCGCCGCCCCGGGTCTCCTGGCGACGGCGGCAGGACTAGTCACCAGCGCGACTCAGTATATAATAGACGATCCAGATCCAGCGTAGTTCCAGCGGGGAGACGACGTGTCTCTCCAACACTAGTGGTGCCGACCACGGGCCAATTGGCCACCTTCTGCTCTGCCTGAACCGAGCACGGAGTCTTCCTTTTTTCCCGGCTAGCCGTGTTTCCTTGCACGGAGTGCCATTTTTTTTTTTGTTTTTAAAAAGTCTCTGTGCGACGGAAGCCTTGCAAAGGCAGGATGCGTCTGTCACCAGATACCTCTTGGATGTGGCGAACTTGCCAGAGGGTCAGCAAAGTGGTGGCGCTACATGCGGGAGCACTTAGGGCTGCAGAAAAGTTGCCCTTCCTGAGATCCGACGTTGCAAAACGTCGCAACAAAAAATCAGACCGGAGCCCCGGACCCCATCTGTCTGCGTCAAGTTTCGATCCAGATCGATCTGTGAGGGTCCCAGGGTCCGAACAATTGTGAAAACGCCAGGATCGAAAAAATGGAGACCCCAGGATCTCACGGTTTATAGGCCCCTAAAGGGGCCCTTCAGGGCCCAAAAGGGGGCTTTCAGGGCTCCCAGAAGTGCACCTTTCTCCCCCCTCCTTTTGTCGTTCCCCCATGCAGCGACGCCCAAACGGCCTCGATGCATCTCTGCATGGCTGCCGGGCGGGAGAGGGCCTCGCCAGGGGAGAGGCGGGTCCTAAGGGAAAAGGGTCCTGAGGTTTGTCACCATTTCCAGGCTCTCGGGGCCCTCCAATGGCCCCAGAACCGTCAGAAATCGACTCGGGTGGAAGATCTCGTCCTGGGGGATGGCCCCGGGGCCCAGGACCCGTTTCCCTCCGGACCTGTTTCATCTTTGCTAGGGGCCGTTGGCACGGCGGGGCGAGTTTGCACGGCGGGCGGCGCAGTTTGGCGACGAAATCCGAATCCTGCCCGTGCCTTTTAACGATTCAGGCAACCCGATGGGCGGCGGGGGTAGGGTTAGGAATTCGTCGAAGGCGTGTCGAAATCCGATCCCTACCTCTGGCTCCCATCGCTTCAGGAGAGTCGATGGATAGTGGGGGTAGGGTTCGGATGTCGCCACGTAGCAGACTGGCCTGCCGCCTGCTGCACCGCGACGGCTCGGCTGTGAGGGAACAGCCCTGAAAACCCAGTGCGGTTTTCCAGCGGTTCTCAGACGGCTCTCGAGGGTTCTCGGAAGTTCTCGGGTGTTCTCGTCGGTTCTCGGCGGTTCGCCAGCCTCATCGTGCCTTCCAGCAGCTGCGCCTCGCCGAGGGCGTTCCCAGAGTGCCCAGATCGCCCCGAGCGGCCGCTGGAGACCCGAGTTATGACCCGAAAATCGGACGGCGAGGGTCACTGAGCATCCGACGTCGTTTTGTCTTCTCCGCAGCGTGACTCCCAAGAAGCCCGGACCTCTTCACAGGGATCGGCGGCCATGGGGCCCAGCAGCAAGGGCCCCCTGAGGCCCCACAGATCTCAGAAGTTTGCCGTCGCGCGTCTTCACGACGCGAGGGCGTCTGGGGACAGCCCGTGTCCTCCTCCTCCTCCTCCTCCTCCTCCTCCTCCTCCTCCTCCTCCTCCTCCTCCTCCTCCTCCTCCTCCTCCCCTCCACGGTCAAGACACTGAGAGAAGGACCACCTCGGGTTCAGCAGGGGCTGGTGCTCGAGCCGTTCCCTAGATCTGGGTCGCGGAGCCCGTCCGTGGCCGTGGTTTGCCGGGGCCAGAGCAGCCCCCCCTCGTTCCCCGTTCAGCGTCCTTTCTGGTAGCACGATGCCTGCAGCGCCTCCGCTCCGCAGCCGTCACGGCCCAGGCGGGGCCCAGACGGCGGGCCCGCGCCAGGGCCGCCGCCGGCGATGGCGCCACCGCCGGAGGCGGGGGCGCTGCTGGCGGGGCCCCCGCCGCGCCCGGGGGGGCGACCGCCCAAGAGGGGTGCGCTGGCGCGGAGCGGGACGGCGCCGCTGCCGCTCGGAGGATCGGGCCTCGGGCGAGGAGGGGCTCTCGAGGTTCCAGGCTCTGAGGCGCAGAGGCGAGGGATAGATGCCGACACCGCTGCTCGCCCTGAAGAGCCGTCGTCGCCAAGAAGTTCTGGTCCGAATGCACCCCAGGAGAGGTCCGGGGAGCAGCGGTAGCCGTGCTTGTTTGCCTCCCCTGAGGCGGTCTATTGGCCAACGCGTCTTAAAGATACACTGTTTTTGACTTTACAAGAGGCGGAATCTGGGGTGTCTTGTTTGTTCCCAATGGCTTTTCAGCATCAAGGCGCCGTCCATCAGCCGCGCTTCGCCCAGAGCGTTCCGCGGGCGGATCGTCCCGATTGGCCGCCTGAGATCCGAGTTCTGACCCTAAAACCAAGCGACGAGGATCACTCGGGTCGGACAGAGGGAGGGAACGGGGTATACAGGTACGAAATCTGCTGCCGACGGCTCCTTTTTCCAGCGCCGGGAGGCGCCAGAAAAATTAGCTACGTGAGCTGATCTGCTGGCGACCCTCCCTTGCAGGTAGAGGCTGGTCCACGGGGGAAATCTTCGACCCCCAGTCGCCCATTCTGCAGCGATCGGGGCCTGGGCACCCCAGTCTGCACAGGAATGCGCGGTTCTGCTATCCAGTGCCCATCGCCGATCGATCGGCGACGCACCGCCGATTCCAAGTCGATGCCTACCCCCCTGAGCTAGTCCCCCCCTTCTTGAAGAAGAAACATTTGCGTAACACCAGCTTCCGGAGATCTGCGCGGAATTGTTGGATCGGCGCTGGAGCCCCTGGCGGAGGGAGGACGGTCTGATCCAAGACAGACGCGCGGGCCTCCGATAGTTCATGGTTGTACAGATTTATCCTCTTCTGCTTTCGTCCCCCATCACCATTCTCAGGCAGGCATAGGATGAGGGCCAGTCGCTCCAGAGCCTTGTGGAACGCCGGACCGCTCTCAGATCGTTCCGGAACTCTGCCATGAGAAAAGCCGCGACCCTCCAGTCTCCCGAGATTTCCAATTGATTTTTGTTTGGATTTATATTAATCCTGCCTCCGGCGTACTTCTCCTGCAGCAGTCACGTCAAACACGAAGCCGGCCTTCCAGCAGGTGCCTCACGAAAGTTTCTCATCTCCGATGGCCTTGGGGGCCCGCAGTGGCAATGGGGCACCTCCAGGAGCTCAGAGCTCGACGACAGACGTGCACCTCGAATTCTTACAGCCAGATCTTTGTGCCATGTTTGCCGACTGGGCCACCCAGGGCGCCCCCCAGGGGCGCGAAGATAATCGCGCATCGCGCATCGCGGCCTGGGTTGGATAGGCGCTCTTCTCCAGGGTGGCGGCGCGAGGGCGCGAACATAACTGCGCGATCGTGCATCGCGGGGAGCGCGTTTCGAGAAGTTAGGCGACCCAGATTAATCCTCGTCCGAGCTCCTCCTGCCCCCCTCTCCCCCCCGTTCATCGCGCCCCCAGTCCATCCCTAGGCAGGGCCCGTTTCGATCCGATCGATCCGTCAGGTATTCCGCGCGACCCGATGCCCGTATGTCGCCGTTGTGCATCCTGGCATGGCCGATCCGATCCGTTTCGAATCCGACTCCGTGCCGATGCGGCCCGATTCGATGCACATTCCGATCCGATCGGTTTGCCCGATGACAACGATTACCCGATTCGATGCTGATGGATGCTGCTACGGAAGGTTCATGCGGCGTTGGCGCGCCGGCGAGGCCGGCGAAGGCGTTCGAGGTTTAATTCTGCGACGTGGAAGCACCGAGGGACAAACTGAATGCTACAGGACCCGACTGAATTCAACCTTGAACGATCGGGGCCGCGATCGGTTCAAGGTTGAACGATCGACACGGTGTCAAAAGCCTTTGCGCGCACCGACGCCGCACGAACTTCCCGTAGGTGGACCGTGCTCCAGCGCGTATGTGAACGTGCGTCCGTCCGTCCGTACCCCAGGGCCGGCTTCTCGTCCCGAGCCGTTTTCAATTGCAATGGGGCGTTGCGAGGGCCCCCGGAGGCCGAGAACGGTCCAATACCGATCGTCGTATTTGTTTGTGGAGACGCGAGGCATGTCTGGGTCCGGCCGTGCCCTCCCTATTAACCCTTCCTTGTCCATGCCGTAACCATAGCTGCCTGGATACGCCCGTGCTGAAACACAACACGTGCCGTGTTCACCACGCCCGTGTTAACACGTTGCGTGGTGGCTCTCTCTACGTTTTTGCCCACGTGTTGGCGAACGTGCCGCGCCAGGCGTATGTGTTCACTCTGCGTCTTGAGCTCCGTGTCAACACACTACGGGTTCCGTGTTGCGTATCGGGGCGGCTAAGCTCCATTTGCTATGTCTTAACCCTCTGATTGCATCCATTCCCTCCTTCGTTGGTCCCTCTGCTGCCCCGGAACTGGGGAAGCCAAAAGGCACCGACACCGCTACTCCCCGGACATCTTCCTATATGCGTTTTGTTGACAGAATTGGAGACGAATCCAGCCGTGGCGACAAGGGCTTCCCAGGAGGCCCCAAAATGCGAAAACGACGGAAGGGTAGCGATATGGATGCCGTTCCCACAAGGCTAGCAGTATGGATACCTCTTCCTCTTAGGGCCTAGGATAGACCGTCCGACCCGAGAGGCGGCGACGGCCCAGCCCGCGGCGCGTCCAAGCCGCTTGCGCTGGCCGCGGGCCACAGCCAGCCGGGCCACCGCCCCGCGGCCCGCTCGAGGTCCTCCGCGGTCGCCGCCGCTCCTTCTGCTCCTCTTGGACTCGTGGGCCTCCTGTTCCCCCTCCCCTACTACTGCCCCTCCTCCTCCTCCTCCTCCTCCTCCTCCTCCTCCGCCTCCCCCTCCTCCCCCCCATCCTCGTCCTCCTACTCCTCCTCGTCCTCCCCTTCCCCCTCCTCCTCCTCCTCCTCCTCCTTCTCCTCCTCCTCCTCCTCCTCCTCCTCCTCATCCTCATCCTCATCCTCATCCTCATCCTCCTCCTCCATCTCTTCCTCGTCCTCCTACTCCTCATTGTCCTCGTCGTCCTCGTCGTCCTCCTCCTTCTCCTCCTCCTCCTCCTCCTCGTCCACCTTCTCCTCATCCTCCTCCTCCTCCTCCTCCGCCTCCTCCTCCTCCGCCTCATCTTCCTCCCTTGGCATTGCTCCGCAGGCGGCGGCGGCGACGGTGGCGGCGGCGGTGACGCAGGGCCGCGAAGGGCGACCCAGTGCTGGTGGGCCGCCCAGCAGGGGCGCGGCGGCATCCTCCCGCAGCAGCTTGAGGTAGTGAAAGCTGCCCAGATGGAGGATTAATTAGGTTCTCCGCCACCCTTGTGGGGAGGCAGGGGGGTAGGACGGAGTGACGAAACGGCAACGACGGAGGAACGCCATTAATCTTGGGAGGAAGGGGAGAGGAAAGGGCGATCTTGTGGCGAAAGAGTGCGGTGTGACGGGTTGTGGCTGTTGAGGTGGCAAGA